GCTTTTACAGGAGCATTTGACCAAGCATCGCATGCAGCCGGAGACCAAGCTGATCCTGTCCAGCGCGCAGCCCTTTTCGTCGCATGGTCAGGGCTATGCAAACTCTCAAATCGTAGTCAACCGACCCGAGGGATCGGTCACGTTCACACTACCCCAGTATGGTCATGGCTCGGAGCAGGCTCAGCAAAGTAGTCAAGCGCAGAGCCACGAGTACAACGATCACGAGCCCAAGGTCTCGGAGGAAACGTTAAAAACGGTGCTGGAGCTATCGAAGCAGATGATTGCTGCCCAGAACCTGCCCAAAGTGCTTCCGAATACCGCCTACAATGGGGCCTACTACGCGCCGCCCATTCTACAGCCGGTTATACTGACACAGCACGGTAATCCCTTCCAGCAATACTATCCAATGCAGAACTACGAGTCGCAGCCACCGCCACCGCCACCGCGGACCCATTACGTGCATCACAAAAAAGCGAGCGGATACAACAAGAAGCAGCCGAGTACGACGATCATTCACAACAATGTGATCCCCGTCCATGTGTCCAGCACCAGCTCTGGGGAAAGAGAAGTACTCGATACCTACGGCAATAGTTTGGGCGTCTATCCCAGCCTTAACAACAATCACAAAAACAATCAAATGGACGACAACGGCAACAGCAACAATAACTACTACAACAAATTCATGACGACAATGACAACAGCGCGACCCAGCTCCGGGATGTCGGTCACGACGATGAGCAGCCAGTACACGGGCCAATATGCGGCTCCGTATGCGAGCGAGTTTGCACAGACGACGCCGCGTCCCTTCGAGGAGCAGCCCTCGGCGGCAACGGTGGCCTCCTACTACACGCCCAGTCCGCATCTCGATGAGAACAATGCGCATCGGGTCTTCCATGCGGAGAGCTACCCCACATCCATGGACATGGGCATGAATATGCCGCGCCCGATGGATGGGCATAGCCCATATCCCATGCACATTGATCCGGATCGAGTGAAAATCCGACCCAATTCGCATAAAATCGAAAGCATGGAAGTGGAAGCTGACGATGCGATGAACGCGAACTATGTCAACAGCAATGCGAATAACAACCAGAAAAACAACAATCGACATGTACTGACCTACAGCAGTGCTGGATCGACGGACACCGGGATGCTGGGCATGAGCCATCAATTAGCACCTGGCTCGTATGTGGAGCAGTACAATGCGATGCCCCAGAATTTGGCCAACGAGGCCTCCTACATGCCCAACCTAGCGCCCAGCATGAGCAACAGCGTCTACAGCGACGCCGTCGGAAACAACAACATGTACAGCTCGGGAATGGGAGCTGGCAATGGCATTCAGATGATGCCCGGTAAGACCAAGTACCCGTCTGGGCTGAGCCAGCTTGTGAATTTCAACGGCAACTTCATCAGCCTGGACGTGTTCCAGAAGTCGATAATGCCATTGATAACCCAATCGCCGTCAGCTCTGTCGGAGCTGGGCAATGTTGAGGTGATCACATGCCAGGCGGGCGTGCGGCAACCCAACCAGACGGACTGCACCCGCTACTTTGTGTGCAGCAAAAAAGATGGCAAGGTCTTGTCCTACTCCTGCCCCCCGTACACGGGATTCAACAAGCAAACGCGTATCTGTGATGCTACCACCTATGCCCAGTGCGGCAATGTGCCCATCTTCAATGGCTACACCATTGAGGAGAACCGGCGACTGCAGATGGAGACGCTAAAGATGCTGGCGGAAGCCAAGCGCCGGCAGGAAGCAACCCTCAAGAGCCAGAGCATTGCCAACATACTGAAGCAATACGGCAACATGCAGGAGCCGACAGCTCCAGTGATATCTTCAGGCATAGACCAAAGCGTGTTGGACTCGTTTATGGTCGGTCTGCCCGAGCCGAGCAGCACGCCACGTCCCACGCCAGTTAATCCCACCCTGCCGCCGATCAGCAACAGCAGCGGATCTGTGAAGAAGCGGAAGTACTACTGCCGGGAGGGTGATAAGATTCCCGACCAGACTTCCATCAGCAGCTACTTTGTCTGCTACAAGACGCCGCAGGGCCAGATGAAGGGCCACAAGATGACCTGCTCGAAGGGTCTGCTCTTCTGTCCCCGAACCCTAATGTGCACCCTGGCCAGTAAGTGCTCGGGCTAGTTGGTTGAGCCTTTTGTCTTTGACTAGTTTTGTAAGTTATTTATTCTAATTTAAGCGTGCGAGCGACTAATTCTCTTCATTAAACTTAATAATCACAATTCAAAAGTTCGTTTTTATTTAATATACTGTTGCTTATTAGGTTGCCGCTTAAGTTCAAGAGGTCATCGTGAAAGTAATGCCATATTCTACCTGTCGAGCATTTTAAATACCTTGTGTCACAATTTCTCTCATGACACTCGCTTTTAATACCAGTTCTTAATTGGCGCGGACGACCTTCCTATAAAACTTGACATACTCGCGACTATGAACTGACATGTATGCCCAAACTGGCATACCCTTGCCTTGGAAGGGAGTACCATTACTTTATCATCAACTGTGCAACATGCCGAAAGAGTCATCTTCGATTCCAGGCAAATACTCTCGATCCAGAGTCCCTTAATATGCAAGCTATACTCTCAGTTTATTATCATTGACACGTTGGCTAAATTGCCTGCAAGGGTATTTAAAATTCGGCAGCTCGAACTTAGCCAATTTTCTTGTTTAAATGTATGCCAGGGCACTTTATGCAGATGTTAGATTGTGGGTACTTGCTATGGTAGGAAGTTTCACTATTTAAATGTGCTCATAAGTTTTAATGTGCTGGCGGTTTTAGTAGGTTGTTATATGTACTATACAGTATATACCTTTTATTTATGGAATAAATGAAGCATATTTCATTTTCACTCAGTTAAATGCTGAGGTGAGAGTGTTTCAGTACGCGAAAGCCGATACCTACATAGGTTGGTTTTTTGCATTTTAATTATAATTTCAACTGAAAACAAAGCTGTGTTTAATTTCATATAAACTGAGCAGACTTCGTAGACAATCAGTTTTTCACTTTACCGCAATATTTCTTCATTTTCAATCCAGAATATTTCTCGAGATTTTTATACGCTGAACCCATGGAAAATGGGTGAAAAGGCTATATTAATTTGTAACAGGCTTCTCCGACCCCATGAAGTAAAAATAAAGTATATATAGAGTATATATAAAGTATATATAGAGTATATATATAGTATATATAGAGTATATATAAAGTATATATAGAAGAATTCCACCCACAATTGCGGAATATTGAGGGAAAAACGTTTGCATGCACATTTCTTGTTTACCATCCAATTCACTTCGGACTCATTTTCAAATAGTCTAGAGAAAAATGAATTGCAGAAGTATTTCACATATCCATTGAAAACTGGCTAGGATGAACAGGTACCCCACCTATGCAAAGCCGGGAAAGCCGTGAACTATTTCGAGTTCAAACTTGTACTTATAACTTGTTTTTCTTGATTAAAGATTACGTAAATTGGATGGGAGATTAAAGTATAAAATATATATCAAATTGGATGAAACAATAAACATCTAGACAAGTTTATGGACAGACGGAAGAATATCGACGAGCCTGTTAAGTTTGTAATATGATCGTATCTGTATGTAAACATTTTGTATGGAAATGATCCGTGGTACAGGCATAAGAGAAGTGAAAATTAATTAATTAAAGCTAAACAGTTTTTCGATTAACTTGTGTAGTTAAAACTAATCGTAATGCATACCACATTTGGCTCAACTGAGAACAAAGCAAATGAATTATCCAAAAGATTTAGAAAACAACTTTTCGAAGAGGCGGAGCTAAAAAGCAATGTATACGCAGATACACAAGCTATGTTATTTCTATTCTAGATTAAATATTATTCATATATATATTTGGAATTGAAGAAGTGCACAAATCTATCAACTTGCCGATAAAGAGAGAAAAGTCACTTTCACCTTTCATCTAAGACGAATTATCTTCATTTAATTGTCTTACTATAATTAGTATCTAATAATTGTTTAAATTAATACTCACACAATGCTGTGCACGCGTCGCCAGGCATATAAGAAATTTCTTTCTCGCAATTTAATATGTCACTCACGCATCAACTTCTCCCAACTAGAGAAATGATCGTCTAGTACGCCAACAACAAAAGGTGTCACTTTTCACTTGACAGCGACTGATGATATTGGCTGTAGTTAAGAGACTTTATTTGATAGCAGCTCCCCCATGCGTAACCATCTGCCATGGATTTGTTAACAATAGCAATTACAATTACAACAAATTTCCACATGTGACCTTTGGCAATACTTTTCACGAAAGCCTGCTACAATTACAGATGAAAGTGGTTTCGCACTTAATGCACCGGTTTCTGGAGGTCTCTTAATCTCAATTAGGGTTTAAATTTGTTTACAGTGGCACAAACCGGTCCCGGCCCCAGTTGTCCGTAGACTGGGTAAAATTGGCGACAAACAGATTTCGTGGCCATAAAAAATAACTTAAAATGAAAATGGGATAAATATATATTGAGATAAAAGCCGTATAGCTTATTTTGAAATGAACTAAGGTGATGGAGAAATGAGTAATATTTATTTCTACTCTACTTGCATATAGTTTTACAGTTTATTATTATTTTCTTGAACTTGTTTTGCACATCACACACAAGAGATCGTTACATTCGATTATGATTTCCCACTTCAACAACTAGATATCGGTTAGAGTACTATTTCTAATGATCTATAATTTATTGATTTGATCTTCGATTTAGTACACTGCTTTCAATATTTAACAACTACTTAAGGTTCTACATTTTAAATATGAATATTGCTTTCACATGAAGCTTGAGAACTCATTTAATTTGCGACATTTTGTTTACATTTTTATAGTAGTATAAACATTGCTTTTTGGTATTTCACAACAAGTTTTCTATTTGATTTGAAATACACGACCTTTTGCCCTTGCTTGGGTTGTCGGAAAATATTTCAATAAGACAAATAAGTTATTGACTTCAATGTTTTAAGCAATTGGCTTGCTTAATATTTTATAGTCTAAAAAGTATTTACGATTAACTTGCGTTAGTTTATAATTCAATTATCACATTCTCTTTGATGATGATATATATTCATTTTCATTTGGACTCGTTTCACAACGAGCTTTGCTTTTAGAGCGAATTCTAAATAAATATTGCTGTATGATTACATTTTTTTCTTCCATTAGTTTGCACAAGTGCAATTATTGAACAGGGAAATCATTGAAAGCGCTTAGAGAATTTCAAATTTGTAGAAATTTTACCCAGCCCTCGTATGGCACACAAGGCATAGGAACATAGTGTAAAAACAATTCCAGGGCTGACTCAGCTCAGCTCAGACCATGCCGAAACCCTCGCTGCCCTCGCTGATGGCCAGGAGCAGCGATTTCTCGAATTGCTCATAGCTCTCGTAGTCGGGCAGGCAGAGCTGATTGAAGCTAGAAGAAGACAACAGAACAGAAGTTAAAAGGCAAGTGATGGGGCATATATACGCACCAAGTGTGTGCCGTGGGCAGGTTTCCAAATGTGGGCGCCGCAGTTATTTGGAATTGGGGATTAAGCTCCTGAAAGCCGCCGGGCGGCAGCTGGGAGCAGCCTGTGGTGAACTGCAGCAGACGCGCCATTTCCGTCTGGCTAAAGTTACTCACGCCCGCCCAGAACCAGGCGAGCACGCGCCGGAACTCGGCCGAGTTTCCATTGGCAATGTGATGCGACTTGAAGTCGCTTACGGAATACTCCCCAGTGCCACACATCAGTAGCTAACCGAGAATGGAGAGAGCTTTGGGTTATATACCACTCATATATGTTGCAAGAAATAAAGTTTTCGTTACCTCCAGTTCGTTTTCGTCGAAAATGCTTAACAAGTTGTCCGGGATAATGGCATTGAGGCCCTTTAGAAAACTGTCAACTTCATCCTTGACGCTATTGCACAGACGCTGCTGGGCCAAAGCGTCTAGATATTGATTTTTGGTGGCGTTCGTCACGCGAGTCTTGGCACCATTTGGAATTAGTTCTATGGTCTTGTTCAGCTGGCCGCTGGCATCGTAGAGGTCTTCCACGAAGTACAGCTCCAGGGTGTCCGTGTCATCCAGATCTGTGTCGAGTATGTACTTGATCTTTGACAGATACAAATCCGGATCGTCCTGCTCAAAGTACTAGAGGACAAAATACAACTCTCAGAAATAAAATATATATGGAAAAATGATGCTACTCACCTTGTAGTGCACCCTTAGCCCAATGAGCTGAGCCAGAAACGAGCGACTGAACCGCGCGCGGACCAGTTGGCGGTAACTGCCGCCTAGGGCACTCTCGAAGAGACATTTACCGACCATTTTGCCGGCGAACTCAAAGTACTTGAGCTTCAGATGCGAGGGCCGCGTGGGATTGGGATGCACCAGCGCCTGGTGCTTGTCGTGGAATGTACAAAAGAGGCCGCTGCGCGAGTCAAACAGAGCGCTGCAAACCAGCTCAAACCACTCGCGGCGCAGGCCGCCCCAGTCGATGCCCTGCTCTCCCTGGAAGGTGACCTCGAAGTTGCCGCACCAGTCCGACACTGAGAAGCCCTTGGTGGCCTTCATGCTGCTCTCCAGAATCTTTTCGCGATGCACCTTGAGTGCCATCTTCTCGTGATAGTAGCTGGCATGGAATTTGCGCACCTCGTGATAGAAGAAATCCTGTTTGTCCTTAAAAGTCTCGGAGCCGCCAATGTTCTTCAGCAGAAAGTGCGTAAAGGTGGCTGCAATTATGTTGCGATCCTTTGAGGCCAGCTCAATGCGCGGCTGCGCGCCATCGTCAATGATAAAGACCGGCCCATGCAGCTGACTGACCAGCTGGGGTAGAAAGTGGAACTTGGTCGACGGACACAGTCGAAAGGTCGCAATACGTTTGGGAATGAACTTCAGTATCATTTCCTTGATCGTCACCTGAAAGATCAACGAGTTCTGAGCCTGAACATTTCGCACAATCAGTTTCATCTGCAACAATGAGACTCACCTGTTTCGGTCCCACATAGCACATCACCTTGCGCGGCTTGCTCCTCGTCGTTCCGTAGACGCTAAGCAGCTTCGCCTCATAGCAAATGTTGTGCTTCCGCGAGGCTATATTCTTGTGGACGAGCGTTGTGTCGCTACCTTCAATCGGTTAAGAAGGTTAGTTGATTAATTAACAACAATTATCAGATATTTTCGAGGTGCTGACGGCTAAATATATAAAATATACAGCAGATGTTTCATTTTTAAGAGATTGGGGGGATGTATCCAGTAGGGATATAACATATATTATTATAAGAACCTACAAGCGATCGGATGAATACCAAAATAGTGCAATCAAGCTCTTTTCGCCCATTTTACTTGACCCGCATTTTCTATCCAAGCGTGGATATTACAACTCTCACATGAATATACACAAAGACCTTTGAAAGCAAGCTGGAAACCGATTGGATGAAACTTGAAAGTAGGCCTATAAATGCTTTGACCCGCATTTAACCGCCAAGAGGGCAGGACTTTGCGATAAGTGTGATTCCTAACCCGCACGGGTTTAGACTGTGCGTTGATCCTCAATTACTCAGTCACTCAGAGACAAGTATGGTTGTAATCTATTGAGACGTTCAATACTTACTGCTCAGCACGATTATATCAAAGTCCCCGTTGGGCAGCTGCTGATCGCGATAGCTGATGATGGCGCGCAGGCACGTGGGCTCCGGGAAGAGAGCCGTCACCGAGACACGCGAGTTGACGCGGTCGTAGCTGAAGGCAATGGCGTGCTGGAGCTTCTCGACGGATACGCCGTGCAGATCATAGATGGCCACTCGGTAACCCTGCAAGACGGGGGAGTAGTTAGATTAGAAATTTGATTTACGGGGCTGGTAACCAGAAGGTACCTGGACCGCCTCGTCGGTCTGCTCGAACAGGCAGGCATTGCCGAACTCGTCCCTGGGTTCGATATGCATCAGGGTCGGAGAACTTGCGCAGCAGATGAGCGTGCTGGCCGGCCGGATAAACCGAGATCTGCGCGGATCGATGGCGCCGGGCAGAAAGTTGCGTACGAAGGGCGAGCCGGCGATGTGGCTGGCGCCGATAAGTACTGAGATCTTGTACTGACCCGCGGTGCGGACCGTAAACTTGACTTTGGCAATGTTGGCATTGTTGGGATCTGTGGATGAGCCCAGCTCACTGATTGTGACCACTTTGCGTGTACCCTCGGTGACCTCCACAAAGAACTGGTCGGTATCACAGATGGGATAGGGCTGGCCGTTGCGCTGGAAGAAGCGCACTATGAAGCACATGGTGCCGCCCACTCGGGCCGGATCCTTCCAGTCCCACTGCAGCCTACAGTTGGCAGGCAGCAGATACTTTCCGGTTACATACTGGAGCAGCGAGTGGCGCGCCTCGGGCGCCAGCGAGGGCTGTGTCATGGCGGCAAGTGTGACCAGACCGGCTACGGAAACAGACACCACCAGCATGCCGCCCCATGTCCAGGCGTCCTGATGCTGACTGGACTTGACCACCGTTGACCACAGCTGCGCCTTCAGAGCGTCCAGCTGTGCCTTCGATGTGGGCAGACCTTGACGCGCCGTCGACCACAGTTGCCAGTCCTTGCCGAGTATTTTGCTGGCACGCGAATCCTCCAGCCAGTACACGTCCTCCAGCGAGGCCACCTCAACGGCCAACAGACGCTGGTAATGATGCTGCATGCGATACTCCCGCAGCCATTCGCGCAGAATTAGCTTCTGCTGCAAATGGAGGGCAGCTCGTTGCAGGCGCTGCTCGTCACCCGGCGGCAGCTCCGGCAGACGTTCTGGATCACCAGAGCTTGACAACGATGAGATCCCTACAAGAAAAGACAGACGGAAATATGAATATTAAGTTACACAAGCATAAATGAAATATAAACAACTTTAGGCGTTGGAGCTAATTGAGTTAAATAGTCAAAGTTTGTGCAGAGCTCGAAACTTTAACGATATCATCGGCATCAAGGAGCACGCTCATCCACTGTGTGCTCCAATACAAAAATAAAACCAACTTAATTGTGTCTTAAATTACAAGCCAACTTATTTAGTCAGGCGACTGCGTCATTCGCGGCAGGAACTACTTCGACAACCATGCCAATCAATTATATTTCAATTTTTACGACTACCAAAATGAGTTGACTGGATTCGAGACCGTATCCAAATTTGTACGACCACCCGACCAGCCCACAAGCGCTTATCGCTGACTTCCATCGCACGAAATATTGTTGTTCTTTGTCCCCTCCCCAACCTACAAATCCAACCAACCTTTTGCAAATAGTCGACTCTTTGTCCCTAACTTTGCCCCACCGCAACTTTGGCTTGATGACCTTTCGACTTTTTCGCATTCTTCTTTTATACAAACCAACATATTCCCAAAATGTTCTAGCTAAATCTATTATTAGGTACGATGTTATCTTTCACTATTCCTTAACAATTTTATTGGAGTAACAGGGGATAACCCGTCGTTGTACGGACAATTTAACAATATTGCAAATGAAAGTGAAACTTATCTAATTCAGTCGAACTCAGACAGATATGTATGCTGAAAGACTTTCTATGTATATTGAGCTTTGAAAATTAGTTTGAAGTCGATCGATGAAATCAGAAACAACCTTTGACCCAATATCCAAAAGGCACATACATTTTTTAAAAAGATTAAGCGTCACAAAAATAATGCTTCTTGTAACTGTTTTAACCCATTTGTCACAGTTTCATATGGAACTTTTCCAAAATCCCTACTATCCACAATAAACATTTAATCTTCATACTAGGTTCGGCTTGGGATAAGAGTTGATCAGCAATCAGTTAATCAAAGATTATCTCCAGTATTGGAATGTTAAAAACGTAAATTTATAAATGTTCTAGCAAATTAATTTACAAGCATTGCCTTGAAATACAAATGACAATCGTTTGTCAGGAATTGATTATGATAGATAAATCAAAGCTATTTTTGCAAGAGCAATTTCAGAAATAATCCCAAATATAACGAAAAAATATCTTTTATATTTTCATTTCGGGTTCTTATAGTTTTCTTTTCCCCAAACTAGCTCAGTATTAAGAAACTAACAAAACAGATTAAAAATTATAAAAATTGGTCCATTATAGAGAGAGAGAAAGACAGAGAAAGACAAAGAAAAACCGAGAGAGAAAGTAGAGGGAGGGAAAGATAGAGACAGAACAAGAGATTGGAGGAAAAGGATCTAGATGGAGAGGGAGAGAGAGAGGGTGAGAGAGGGAAAGAGAGGTGAAAAGATGAGGAAGGGCGGAAAAAGAGAGGGAGGAGAGGGAGGAGGAGATGGAGAAATTGAGTGAAACAAGAGAGAGCCTCCGCGAGAGAAAGGGAAAGAGAGAGAAAAAGGCGAAAAAGGTAACAATGAAAGCTTGATAATTGAATGAGTCCAAGGTATCTCGTAGTCGAGCACTCTTGACTGGATTACTCGTCAAATGTTCTCTGTCTCTCTCTAACCACTGGCAACAAGGGCTGCAGGCCACAACCCACCTCAAGGCGCCAACAAGTAAGGCTGGAACTTAATCCGCGCGCTTGATCTAGAGTCAGCCGGAGAAGTATAAAAATAATGCGGTACGAGTAAATATTCGTATTGGCTTATTACATACACAACTAGTTAGTTTCGTTTGCGTGCCTGACATTTGAATACTATTTTATTTCTTAAACAATTGCTTTCATTCTCGAAGTAGCCCTCATAACATTATATTTATTTGCATAGTTCGTGCGGAACTTACGACTTCCGGTTGATTTCGTTAATTCAAAACGGCGAGAAATGTAAGAGGCAAACAATGATAGGCAACTTTCAATATTGAGCAACTTTTCTTCGATAAGCTCGAATGTGTCATTCGAATTTATTTCTATGCGCATTCTTGATTAACTTCGGTGTTTATAGTCCGATTTTTATTAACTTTTCAGGACTTTCAACTGTATTTCTATACGATTGCAGCATATGAGTTGAATAATTAATAATGTTTCGCCTGAAAACCCATGCACTGATCAGACTAACCAAAACACAACTAAGGAGTACCCAGTGCTGAGGTGGTGACACAAACATTTTAACTTCTCTCTTAACATAGCCACACATGAGGCACACATTCAATTGCATCTTCCCACAATATGTATGGAGAATATGCATTCTCGATTAACTTCGTCCTTTACAGTCTGACCTTTATGTACTTTTCGGTGAATATAAAAGTTTTTATAGATCGAAGCTTAAGGTCATTGTTGTTATTGTTTTCAATTTAAGGGAGCGTGGGCGGAGTTATTCAAAAGTTCAAAATTCTGACTTTGTGCATGCTCAAAGGGTACTTTTATAATCCCCGACATATATATGGTGAATACCCCAAATCTGGATTTCTAGTTTAATTGAGCTATCAACGATTTGAAATCAACTTTATCTGAAGGTTTAATAGAAGCTTCTACCTTTCAAATGACAAATTTAAAGTATATAATTTTCGAGATTCAGTGGACCTCATTTAGTGGACCTGATCAAACAATTGTAGCTTACACATTATCGTCAAGAGAAGAAAATGCGATCACACAGGCACACGGAAAGGAATATTGACATTGCACAAAGCCAACATTTTTCAATAAGTAAACAGAATATAAACAGTTTTAAATCTTAGAAGGGGACCTTTAGGGGAACCTTAATGATAATACAAAACTTGGTCGAGTTTGAAGCGAACTTGGCAGAGCGGAGACATTTGTTATTTAAGAGAGAGAGAGAGAGAGAGAGTAATGGATACATCGTAAATCTAGCTTAACTCACCAATCGCATGCCTTAAACACAATTTGAGACTTACGCAAGGCAATATCTTTTTTGTGGCTCTATTTGAGGGCCAACGCACTTGCATGTTATAAATCAAAAGTGACATGTCTAAATTTTCGCTAAATTGATGCGAAAATCCTTTAAGCTTAGCGCAAGCTTGGAGCAATATCAGTTCCTGGCTAATCGCTGCATCCTCAGGCATCAATTGGATCTGAGCCATATGAGAAAATGATATTGTGTGAAGTTCAATTATAACTTTGTTAATTTTGTCATAAAAGTAGAAGCTTACTGCGAAACATTTAATATTAGTCTTAATGTTCCATGTTCTTGAATATGAGTAAAAAGTAGAGTTTAGATAATTTTGTAACAAGCTTCAATTCCAGATTCAATTCCAGAATGAAAGTTAATTATGGACAAAGATATACAATCCAATAATCTTGATTATTATTTGAAAATAAATTAATTCGTGTCGTGCAGAATGAACGTGAAACTTAGGGTTCGAACCTTTGTGAACCCTCTTTTGTGCAATTGATGCGGGACAATATACACATATACGACGAAAAAATAATGTGAGCAAAAAGAGCCGTGTTGAGTTGGGCGAAATTGAGGTACAATTTCAGCGGAGAGTTTTTGATGTTTTTTCTTAAAAGATTTTCCGATGCTCCTTTTAACTTGAAGATTATAAGAGCTAGACGCTCCACATTTGATTTAGTTCAAAAATATTTCACTTTTGTGATGCCTTCCCTCGCACATCCCATAACTAAATAACATTTAGTTTAGGCAAAGCCTTGCCCTTAGCTTATACACAGATTTGGATGTCACATGTAGGCAGGAAGAGATTTTTGTTTATGCCAGTATTAAGCATGGATACCTACTCTCTATATGCTCTTCTTGTCTACTTCGTCTACTCTTAGAGTGTCCTTTTATAAGTTCAGCTACTTTTGTATCGATACCTTGCTGTTTCCCCGCCCGCAGATAGGTATATCTATCAAGCTTGAACATAGATGAGAATTACATATAAAAGAGTCCACACTTGGTTTGCTTACACTTTTTATGTGACGCAACACCAACACAATTATCTGAACATTCAATTTTAATTGAAAAGCACGTTTTACTCTGCTGGCTTTACTCATAAATTCAAATGCCACTTTGGCAGCAGCCTCTGCAAATAACGTATACGCAAGGTTGGCTGACAAACGAATTTTTCGCTCAGCGCTCTCATTAGCGATATATGTATAAGGTGTACAAGGTGCCAAGTGCTCGCTATATGTCGCTTGACAGAGAGCAGAATACATAAACTTATATTCACAGACTGATGGCTAAAACCAGGCTTAAGGCTCTAATGGTCGTGGTGACTTTGGTCTTAAAGGAGCGCAAATGAAATAAAAGCCTCTAAAGCATGCACAGTTGCTGAAAACATGTTTAAGGTTAACTCAGCGCAAGAAACTGATTCAAACCCGGAATTCCAGTTCCTTTTTACGATTAGCAGAAGAACTGAAAATTACTTTTTGGGATAGTTGAAAAATTATTGATTGAAAGTAATTTAATATATATTTTTTATTTATTTATGTTTGGGATAGTTGAGTTAAAACTATGCCTTGGGCTATGTCCTGTGATCATAGTGTAATTTGTGTGTGTATCAATTTACAATTCACGATTCACGAACCGAATCTTAAGTTCAATCGACCTCCCAAACATTTTTGTTGCATTCACAGCCTTTATATGTTTTAAATCTAAAGCCCTTATAGAATGGACTGGCAGTCGAACAAACATATGCTCATAACTCATATGCTGACTATTTCAGATTTCTTCTGATTTTTAACTAACTAAAACGGAAATTACACTTCATATAGAGTATTGCGCTGTCGGTTACACCTGCCCGCAAAGTTCTCATTTGTGTTTTAGTTAAACCTTATTGTTTCTAGGTAAGTAAAATGGCCTTGCCTTAGCCAGCTTAAACATTATGATTAATTCAAACTTTAACTAGCATTTATTTATGTTTTAAATTCTTACCTTTGCTGAACACTTTGCTCGTTCACTTGTCG